AAATTTCCTAAAATATAATTTATTACATGGGTGGGGGGTACCAATAACAAAAATGGGGGGTATGAATAATAATCCCCAAATAAATATCTAATAAAATTTATTAATATAAAAACTTGATTAAAAGGTCACATGGTTACACATAAAATGTCCATAAAATTAAAGTCGCGTAAAAAAATCATATTTGTACATGAGCAAAAAAAAGAATATGGAGCCAAAGATAGAGTATTTACTATTGTTGAGTTGATCCATTTTCTGGAAGATAGTTATCTTTATATATCCCACCATTCTAGTTTACGCTTTCTCTTCTGCCTAAAGGGATGCACAGCTACTTTTCGTCACAACCTACAAGGTCATTGAATTTCTGCGCCGCTTGATTTGGAACAGAATCTAACAAGTGCCGAACAGAGATTAATCCACGGAAATTACGCGAACATTTTGGAGTCGTTGAGCAAGAACCAAGATCTGCCACAATTCGCTCTGGATCGCGCAAAAAAGCTGAAAAAAGAACTATCTGTAAGGTTACAATTTCCTAATTTACCTAATCACTCTCCACTAAATGTGAATAGACTTAATATGTTGACAAAATATCATGTCAGTCCAAAGAAATCGCATCATTTTGCGACTCAATAGTAGAACGTGAGAAACAGCGCGCCATCAAGGAACACGATTACACGCTCTCGAACAAGTTCGAAAAAAACATCTCAATGGGTGTTGCTGACGTTGCTAGAGTGCAACGAGAAAATGAGGCAGGAATTGATAGCGAAGAACGGTCATACGAGAAGTTCGTAGAGGATATTGATACGGATTTGGAGCCACGAAATACTGAACATCAAATCCGTCCTTCCAAATATTCCGAAGAGGGATCTCCAGAACAACAGAATACATTACCGGAAGATGAAATTGACACCAAGGTATCATTCTCTGTCTAGTTCTGTACTCTTATTCTCTTATTTATGGATTACCCGACCTATTTAATTTATAATATAATTTAAAAAAGGATGATAATAATACAGATGTTGGAAAGATATCTAATACATCAAAAAGAAAACAAAATGAAAATAACGATGTAATAGATGATGAATTGCTTGAAAATACTGAATTTCTATTCAACAAATCAAATGAGGAATCTATAATCGAAAAAGTTGATGAGAATTCACTATTTGATGAGGCTCGATTACCATCAAGAAATATTAATGATAGAACACCAGAGGTAAATCTTGTTATAAATATTTTATATATGTACTTGATAAATTTATTATTTTATTATCAATAGGAGTTTCTTAATGCAAATATTCAATACATATCAAAAAAAAAATACCAAAAGCTCGCAAGATCTTAACGTAAGTTTTGTATTAAACACGATCACTCCCCGCTTACTAAAATACTGTAAATTTTATCCATTTGCCAATTTTAGCCCTGCGTATTGGGGAATATTGGATTTGACAAAAGAAGTCTTAAAAACTCTGGAATAAATGATAAAGATATACAAAAATTATCACAGGATTTTTCTAACAACATTAGGTGGAATAGCGATGTTACCCCCAAATGACATTCAAGAAGATTTTGACAGAAATTGCGTGGACGTGGATTCTGATAAAAATAGGGACATCAAAAATTGGACGTGAACATCAAATTTATGTATGTATATTGAATAAATGCATTTTATAAATTATTTTGTGATCTAATAGGGTGTTCTGTGAAACACTTGAAATCCTTTCAAAAAGAATATGTTGAAGATAACGGAAGTGGTTTATTTACTAAGCACTTTTTATTTGAAAACGCCGGAAAACAATGGAAATGTTGTCGACATTTTTAACTCTTCTTCAGTACATGGTTTCTGTAAATTTGGCATTGTATCTTTCCTGAATAATACACAGATGACAATTCTTCAAATACTAAGGGCGAAATCCAAGCGATTTCGACAATCAAGGCGCGAAATGAAAAAATTGATCCTTTTTCAAGAGCAAAAGTTGGACATAAAGTTGATATGAAGGGTATTTAATTAAAACGCCAAGTAAATTCGAAGTAATTTATGGAGAAGTTTCTGGAGGGCTTGGTCCTTTCGGATTACCTGCCTCCTGCAAGAAAAAACAATAAATTGATGGTAATGCTACGAGATAGCCTCAATCAATTATTTAAAGACAATTGGCACGTAAATAACGAACAACGTAAAAAACTAATTTTGTATGGATGGTTACAAATCGGTAAGTATAAATATAGAAATAAGAAAAGATTAATATATGAGTTTCATGCTAAAAGATTACATTAATATTTATTTTTTAGGGATTGAATTATATATGCAATGGTTCCGGGGTTTATAGATTCGGCAAGTTAGACAAATGTTTGTTACCTGTGGATGAAGACACAAATATATTGGAAGATGCGTAAATTTATTAGAGCTAAGCTACTATATTATCTTTTGCTATTATTTAAGAGTTAATTCATGAATATTAACCCATAGAATTAATGTAGTCAAAATCACTCGAATCGGAAAAAATAATAAAAAAAATAATGCATGATAATACGAAAAACAAAGAAGACGCATCGAAACAGAAAATAGTCCTCATTTAAATAAGTCCAAAATAGTTGTATGTTTATGAAGTTTGATTGGATGTGGGCGTATTATTAATTACCATTGCTATTAGGCCCGATGTCACTCATGAAGCAGGGGCACCACATGTCTGAAATTTATGCTGTTATCTTGATTCTTTTCGTATGTAGAGAGAACAAGGAATATAATAAGTTCCTTCTATATATCCACCAAATATAAATATCCTGTAATTTTGATTACATGCTGGGCATATTGATAAAGCAGTAAATTCACTGAATTGATAGATATCAGAATACTCATAATTATATTGCAAAAATAGGTAAGAAAACTGTTCTAATACAGTAAAATCTCTTTAAGTGCACCCCCCTCGGGATCATAGTAAAAAATAGAGTAAAATACATATATGTTTTATAACTTGGGACCAAGTCATATCATGTATTTATATAGTATGTGCATTTATAGAGTGCACTTTGAGAGATTTTACTGTATTTTATTGATAATGTGTAAGCAGTTATTTTTTAGATTAACTGGGATTGAGATATAGATAATATATTTACTTTGATTTTTCATTATTGATTATTTTTGAAAGTTTTCTGTTTTTTAACTAATTAAAAATTTGGTTATTATTAATAAATAAATTATTCAAGTAATTTTGAAAAATACTTATTTTGATTATTTTCAAAGTCAAAAATCAATTTGCAAGATTTTTTGTTGTTATTTTATATAAAGAAGTGATCAAGAAATTGATTTTTAAAAAGTATTATAAAATACTAGAAAAATATAGTAATTTACAAAAAAAATGAAATACTTAAAAAAAGATATAATTTTAAAATGTTATTTGTAAATTTTTAATTATAAGAAAATTATAAATTTATATATATTCTTATTTAAAAAAAATTTAGTATAAAATTTTTAAATATATAATATATAATATATTTTTTTCATTTTTATTATATTATTAATTTATTTAAATATCATTTTAATTAATTTGTTACAAAAAAATAACATTAATATAATTTTATATATGCTAAATTTTTTTCAAAGATTATCTTTATTTGAATTTGTTCTTGAAAATATTTGAACTTCAATTAATCTTATTTTACAAGTATTTAATTAAATTTAAATCTGATAATTATACAGATTATTCAAAAATAACAACTTTATTTTTTTTTGATTTATTAGATAACTTTTTTTAATATATATTTAAACTATTATTGTATTAAATAAAATTTTATATTATTTATATTTAAAAAGTTATTATTAAATATTTGTATAAAAAATTAGCATTATCATAAATGTATTTCTAATAAATATTTTTATAATATAAATATTTAATCAATATCTATTTGTATACAATATTATTAAAATTAATTTTACAATTTCAGAATTAATATATAATATATCTTCTTCTATTTAAAAAATATAATACAATGTATAAAATCTAAAGTTATCAAATTTTTATATTTTATAAAATGTATAAACTTTCTTATTAAGAAGTAAATACAAAATTTAATTATAAATATAATAGAATAAATCTTTTTTGAGCATATTTACAAATTAAATTTTGTATTTACTTATTAGTAAAAAAGATTATATATTTTATAAAATACAAATATTTAATAATTTTAGATTTTATACACTATATTATTATTACTAATAAATTTTGTTTTTTATTTAGTATAAAAAATAATTATAAAATATATAGTACTAATATTCTTTAGTAATTTGATTAAAAATTTATTATTATTTTTTAAATTATTAGATTTAGTAAACAAATTTGCTTACTAAAATTCTATAATCTAATATATTTTTATTAAAATTAAAATATGTTAAAAAATTTGTTTAATTTTAACTTTAATTATATATTATATAATAATTATTTTTACTTTTTTAATAATTATAAAAAATTATAGTTGTATATAAGTTAAAATAAGTAATTTTAAAAAATTTTTATTATTAATCTTAAATTTAAAAATATTTTATAATAAAATTATAGAATTAATTAAAAAATTAATCAAATATTTTGAGTAATTATAAATTAAAATTACAAATTTTATATTATATTAATTAAAAATATAATATATTTTTATTTTAGCTTAAAAAAAGGAAAATAAGTTATATTTTATAATAAATTAATTATTATATAATTTTATTAATAATAAACAAATAATTAGTTAGATTTTTTTATGATTAACTAAAATTATAATAGAATTAAAATAATTAATAACAAAATAACTACATTATATATTCAAAATTTTATTTTGTTTAAAAAATTTTTTTGAATAAAATATAAATAATAATTTCTTGTTAAAATAATATAATTAAAAGATCAAAATAATATAAGTCATAACCAAATTTTATTAAAGAATATTTTTTTTGTAAAATATAATTTAATAACTTTATAATAATTTTAAACTAAAATATATATTGCTTATATATTTATTTTTATTTTAAAAAGAACTAATTAAAACTAATATATTTTCATATATTACAAATAATATACAATATTATTCTAATTTGTCAAGTGTTATATATTATTACTGATTAATATAATAAATATATTGTTATAATTCAAATATTCTATAATATAATTATTTTATTGATAATTAATCACTTTTATTATATTTAATATTTTTAATAATTAAATTTATTTAATTTAATTAATTATTTAATTAATTATATTCTTATTGGATAAATTTGAAAATTATATGACTTTTATATATAATATGTAATTTGAATATTTAATTTCTATATATGACTTGTATATATGAGTTTATATATAATTTATTATTTATTATTATTATTATTATAATTTAAGTAATTTTTTTATAATTTTATAATTTCATTATTAATTTTATAATTTTACCATTAATTTAAAAATATTTTTATTATTTCATGAATATCATCTTTTATAATATTATTAAATTTAATAAAATATTTTATATCATATTTATCATATTTATTATATATTATCTTTACTATATTTATATTAAATATAATATTAATTAGTGAAAAATATTTATTATAAATATAGCTAATCTTGTAATAATTAATTCAATTAATAATTTAAATAAAATATTTTTAATTAAATATCTATTATTTGATTGTCTTTATTATTAATATACAAAAATTAACTAAATAATAATATTATTATTTATTGTGTACTATATTGAATATTCAACCAGATTGCTAAAAATATTAGTACTATATTATTTTAGAAATATTTTCATATTAAGTAATTTATTAGTAATAGTAATAGTTTATCTTAATAATAGAAAAAAATATATTTATTGTATATAGATTTTGAGATCACATAACTTATTATAGATCAATTTTATAAAAGGTATAATTAATAATTATAATTGAAAACAAGTTGCAATTAATAATAAATATCAAGAAAAACCAAGAAAATTAAATTGTAACAATATAAATAAAAGTGCAGTCATATAAAATTAATTACAATTTATTTTTCTTTTTTTTTAATATTTCTTATCTTTTTATTTTTAGTTTATTATTATTTTAATTTAAATATATTAATCACATAATTCTCTTGATAAATTTACTATTTTATTAATACTTTAGCATAAAACAAAATTATAATATAATTAACTTTTTGTGTAATTAGAAGAGAACTAATAATTTCATAATAGTAATATAAATTTACTGTATTATATGCTGCACTATAACTACACTATACTGCACATTACTATATTACATTGTGTTATTATCATACAAAAATATATATAAATACAAGTATTAATAATTAATAAAATTCAAATTTTCTAGTTCTTGTTTAAATTTTTTCAATTTGAGTTTAGATTTTTTTGGTTTAGTTTTAAGTTTGTTTAGTTTAGTTATATTAATTTGATTTATTTTTGAAGTTTTTAATTTTTTCTTTTAGTTTAATTTTGTCTTAGATTTAATTTTATCATTTTTATCTTATCAAAAATACTATTTAGTCATAATTCAAAGTAAATTATCACAAATACAGTTACTATTGCCATTTTGAAATACTTTTATATATAAAAACTCAAAATGATAACAATATTTAAATCTGGTGCCAACACATACTAAAATACTATTAATACTTCTTTGCTATTATATAATAAAACTAATTAAATATGAAATAATTTTAATATGTACAAAATAATATCAATATAACACAAAGAAAAATTAAATATATGAGAAGAACCAATTAAAATATAGAAATAGAATACATGCTAAATCTTAATAAAAATAATCTATATTAAGCATGTATTATGATATAAATTTAATTTATAATAAAGAATCAATTAAAATATCTTAAATAAAAACCAATTAGATCATAATAATCATTGTTCTTTGTCAAATGCTATCATCATGTAAGAGAATATTATTATCATAAATACATGTTGAACTTCTCAATGCTATGCTCATCTAACTGGTCTTTTGCCTTAGTGTGTCAACAAATAGCTAGATATATACTGCAATAATACAAATCTTATTACATGTATCTTAAACAATTCAATTTTACTAAAAACTAGAAATTACAAAACTTTTAAATTTATAACATTTTTAAATGCCGGCAAATTTCAACCTGGTTTATTAAAAATAGTGGACAAATAATATGTTAAAAAAACAATTTTTACAATTATACTGAAAAAATTAGAGTATAAATTATTCCATTGTGTATTTATAAATTAATTATTTTTTGCAAAAAATGTCGGAAAAAAATAAATTAAAAATCACTAAAGTAAATTTCCATGACTTTTTGCAAGAAAGGATGAGTATTACTCGGTCAACGGCACTCATTCTTTGATATTACCACTGTAAATTATTACAGGCTACAAGTGTCGAAAAACCAATTCAATTTGCCTGCCGTATTCACCAAAAGATGACCCAGAATGTCTTATAGTTAATAGCCCTATTATGCTTCCTTACTTGGTTTTTCTCGTGCCTCAATGCTATTTAATAATAATTATAAATTAGAATAATCTCCTTTATTAAAATTTCCTCGATAAAAAATCGAAACCACACTTACTTTGTCACAAACCCACCAACACTATGATCCAGAACCATTTTTTTCTCCAACGCATCCAAAAATTCACCTTTATACCCATGACACATACGAAACAACACATTCTCCATCCGCGAGAAAAACTCTACAGTGGTGGCAATTTGTGGACTACTCAACTGCGCGAAATCACACCCGTTGAAAGTGAGACTGCGAAGTGATTTCGCAGTTGCACCGAATCTTAATGCGTCAATTATTTCGTCGAGACCATATTTACATGAGGAAATTGTGAATTCTGTGAGGTATTTTCCTTGTGCCTTTATAATTGTGACTATTTGTGTCGTTTCTATCATTGCCTCTTCAGGCGAAAGTGCATTTGCTTTTGACACACATATAGTTTTGAATTTGCGTTGTGAACTTGCAATTGCTGAATAAATATCGACTAGTAAAATTTTTCGAGAACTTTCAGAGGGAGAAGAAGAAAGCGAAGGAAAAGAATCTTTGGGTGAAAATTTTTTCTTTCGATCCATTGATTTATCGTAGAAACATGAATTTAATGATAAATGCTGCAACGATTGAGATTCTTCGGCAAACATTCGAATCAGGGCAAACAGTAAATGATAAACATCATGTCCATCGATCGAGGGCTCTCGTTTCAGTTTCCAGTCCCAGACTGCACAGAGAATTCGTTTATCGTCCAATGATGAAATATATTTCGGGTAATTAAATAATCTTTTAGATGATGACAAAGACAGTAATATTTTTATGTCAGTTCGATCCTTTAGCCGTTTCTTTGCGTCCGCTGATAGACAACTAATGTAGACGTCTATAATTTTCGATTGTTTCTCTTCACGCGTCGATTCTTTTTTTAAGTAATCGGTATAATGGAACGGGTTTCTCCAGAGTATTGGAATTATTAGGCGACACCAGATTCTGCTTACTAGAAGACACGAGAAAAGCGTGTTAGCATCGTCTTTTACCAAGTGAGCTATGATGTTTGGGAGGATGTCGATTGGCAGTTCTGGCGGTGGTCTCATTTTTATTTTGTTATTGTTTCGATATTTTTATAATCATATAATTTTTCTGGACAGGTCTTTTTATATCGATGATGTATGCATAGTAAATTGACTGCATCAATGAATGGTCGTGCAAAAAAAACGATACCGTAAATAGAGAAATAGAGATGCGTTAAAGCGTCATATCCACGTGACCACGTGTGTATTTTTTGATTTATTCAGATTACTATTCTTGATGATCTGTAATAATTTTAAAATCTCTATTCTTGATAATTAATTAAATCGCAAAATCAAAAATAAACAAATACTTATTTTTGAAAAATAATTTATATTTAAAAGTTTATCTAATAAAAAATAGGTTTTTGATTTGCTACTAATACAAACCACAAATCTGATACAAAAAAATGAAAAATGCAAAAAAACATGGAAACAGATGTCTAATCTTTAATTACGTGTCCGAGAATTTTTACGCCATGGCTAGAATATTACCAAATTAAAGAGAATAGGGGTTTTTAATTTTAAAATTATTGCAGATCATGAAGAAGAACGAAACGAGAACGGGAAGTCGCTGTTACACTACATGTATATACTACAAGCATTTACTAATCCCCCCGTTCTGATTGGATACACTTAATTTCCATCACTGATTGGTTGACTGCACACCGGGTCTTCTAAATCAACCAATAAAGATGCATAAATTTTTGATCAACCCGGCAAAACAAATCCGACACAAGAAAATTAAAAAGGCGAATAATGTGAAAAATACAGAAAACGAATGGGTAAACCTGGCTCGAAGCACTAATAAAAAATGGCGGGAAGACAATTTCACACGTAATCATTCCTCTAGTCCTCACCCTAACCCTTAATCCTAACGCTCAAACTAACCTTTAATATCCTCAACCAATCAGAACTTGGGGGGAATTAGTAAATTCGTACTACAATAGAAATATGTATATATGTTATACGTATCAGTATATCGATATGACATGTATGATGAATTCCTCCAAGCTAAACTTTTATGTTCGATCATGAGATAGATACATAATCCCTCATGATTGATATGATTTAATTATATTTTTCTCACGATAAAGTAGATTTGGAAACAAAATAAATAGAACCACTGTTTCTCCTTCCTTTTCGTAAAATCCAAATCCAAAATCCCTACGATACAACAAAAAAATTACTATTCAATAAAACAGATCCAAATACAACAACTCCAAGAAATGTCCGTAACACAAATCAAAACAGGCGACTCCATTCCTAATAATGTCTACTTTGGCGAGTTGAAAAATGGTGAAGAACAGCCGCAAAAAATTGCTCGTGATGAAGTATTCAAAGGAAAAAAAGTTGTCATCTTTGGAATTCCGGGTATTTACTTTTTATAATTGATTTAAGAATTATTTCGAAAGTTGCATGTTTTAAATTAATCAATCGAAAACATGCAGATTAAATAACTGATAAAGATGAATTTTGAAATTTGAAATAAATCAAAGGTGCCTTTACATCTGTATGCAGCGCCAAACATCTTCCTGAATTCGTTTCTCACTATGAAGAGTTTCAAAAGAAAGGAATCGATACCGTCGCTTGTGTTGCGGTTAATGGCAAGTACAAAATTTATATTTTCCATTTATAAATTTGTTGTACTAGAACATCTGAACCTTTAAAAATACCAAAATCAACAGACCCATACGTAATGAGAGAATGGGCAAAGGGGCACAACGTCGACCAAAAAGTGAGAATGCTTGCGGACGGCGACAAAACTTTCCACAGTGCATTGGGGCTCTTACAAATACTTCCGTTTTCGGGTGAGCGTGGTCGTCGATTCTCTGCGTATGTTGACAATGGCGTGATCAAGATTCTTAATGTGGAAGAGCCTGGCGCACTTAGTTATAAAGTTAGTGGTCCTGAAAGGATGTTGAAGGATTTAGAAGAGTTGGGTAAGAAACAGTAATTAAATGAATAGTGCCGAGTTATTGAGTTCATGTTTGTACGTAGTTAAATACATGTATGTAGTCTTTAATCACTTTGCTGTTTAAATAAAATGTCACTTTAATAGAATACCAGTTTGTAGATATTTAAAACATAAATGATTATTCCCAAAATGATTATTATATTTCTCTCGATATTTTTTCCATAAGATTCAACAAATTTGCATGTATGCGTGTATACTATACAATATTGTGATGTCATAGTGAATGATAAACTAGCGCTAGTATTTTTTTGAAATAAAAGTTACATGTATTATGTTATGTGCCATGGTGCAGGAACTCTTAAATCGACAATATCGATATGCTTCATGTTATAAATTCTAACTACGTAGGTAAATACAAAATTTAATACAATAAATTTTGTATTTACATACTTCCTACATCAAAAGCCATCCAATCAAATGAGATATTTAAATGGTTAATATTTTTTGCATGCGAAGTCATTTTGCTCGACACAAAAACCCCTAATATAGATAATATCGAGATCATTGTTTTTCTGTTTCAGTATAATTTTACAGCGCCACATTGGTGAGCTTGAGCTCATAATAAAATTAACAAAGAGTACCCCGATAAAGTCAAATAAAGTGCATCGTGTGTCACCCTGTTCTATATATATAATATTTGTCATCATAGGAACCAGTTTTCCACACAATGCAACCATCTCACTTGGTTCGTTTATTCTACAATGCCACCGGTGTGCGCGTTTTTGGTTGGCTGGTCTGTATGGCGCATTTTAACATTCTGCAACTTTGCTAAATTCTGTCACTTCCTTTGTCGATCACCTAAATTGTTTCTATTTCCACCCATGCTCATATTCTTTAGGCTCTCCCATTTGCCTTTTTGATCATAGTCATTATATTTGGTATCATACATTTGTGGAAGGGCGAGAATTACAATATCGATAAACTAAAAAAATTAGATTCCATGTGTCATGATATAACCTAATACTTTTCATATAACAATTACACCTTGTTCATCAAGCGAAGAGTAAGCATAATGTTATCTGGGTTATTATAGTTAACAGAAGATACATTATTTTTAGAATGTCTGAATACTCTAACTTCTCATCTACCCACGAGGCGCTTAAAACTATTTTTTCGAAAGCTTCCGACAAAGAAATTGCGAAGTACGAGAGGCAACTTGAAAATGTGAAGGATCTTGACCCAGTACTTATAATTACTCCAAATTAAGCTTGGATCAATCAGCACGGTTTGCCCGCTTATCTGGCTATTATGGATGCTTTTGCAACAAACGATCTTCGAAGTAGGTGCAGAGATGAAAACTCGCGTGGCATTTTTCACTTCACAAGCGTCACCGAACTCTATACCGTACGAGACAACATTCACAACCATTTTCCTAATAAGAACCTATCATTTGTTAATTGGTTCAATCAACTATTATGTGATGAGTTTTTTCTTCTGCTATTAATAAAGCCGACCTATGAGGTCTATCTTTACAGATGATCGCACAAAATTGTCCCAAAGTATAAGCTAGAGTTAATCGTAATCCGGAGTTGTAATAATTCAAGAATTTTGATCGGTATGAATACTTGTTCTCGTGTCAATACTATGATCGAAATCATTTCAGACACTTAAAAAGTGGTAAAGCAATTGTGAATTTTATTTCTCTGTATGTAATTTGAAATATTTTGGTTGCGTTAGCGACCAGTTATGTATTGCAACAAAGATATATTAATTCGATTTTTCACATGTATCAGCATAACTTAAACTTTATGATCGAAAAAATAATAAACAGTCTTGGTCACTAAATCGCAATTAAAGCTTTAATTTTATTCAATGAGACTCAATTCTCGAAGATGCTCTGGAATGGGTCTTCGTAATACCTTCACATAATTCTTTCTTGAATTGATCCCTTGCTTGTTGTCGGACAAAATTGTTGGGATCTCTGAAAGAATTTAATATATTTTCATGCTGTTGCCCTTGAACTTCGATAGCAAAGTCATAGTTATAGTAAGGAATGTCAAGTTCCAATCCATTTGGATGGATGTTTAGGGGTTTTCAACAAATCTGGTCTGCGATTTTCAGATGGTGGACCAAGATACTTGGTTATAATTTCATGACACAAGTTTTCACGCTTAAATTTTTTACAATGAGGGTACCATGCCTATATTTTTACATTAAAAAGTGATGCATTCCATAAATGCCCATTAACACATTTCCATAACAAATCCGAACGATATACTCTTTAGAAAGACATTCTCCATTTTGGTTAAAAGCAATTTGTTTAGCAACTTTAAGAGTATACCAAACGTTACCTACACAATATGGGCACCATGTATTATGTTTATTTACTTTAATAAAAGTTGCGTACCACTTATGATCTTTGGCACAGCTCCATAATAATTTAGTATCTCAATTTTTATATTCGGTTGAAAGGTATTTCCCATTCCTATTATATGCGATTTGTTTGGCATCTTTAAGAGTGGAGAGTTACATTCATACAATATGAACACCATGTATAACTATTTTTTATACTACGTATACACTCCTACAGTATATTACCGGAAATTTTAAAAATGAATGTGGCACTTTGATACACGATATCTCGACATCCAGTGATCCCATTCGAACAAAAATATTACCATTAGATTCG